AACAGTCCTTTACCACTCCATAGGCGTCAGTATGCCTTCTATGTGCACTACACTCGAATACAAACAGTGAAGCGAACAGTCCATCAGAAAAACGCTCGTTAAAATTATCCCGGCGAGCGGCGCCGGTAGGAGAAAGCCGGAAGAGACGCCTTGACCACTCTCCAATAAGCCGACTCCTCTCCTCCGCTGCCTCCCGCAGCCATGGGCGCGGGCCATGCCGGGTCTCACTCGGGATCGGAGTGCTGGGCTGCAGTGAACCGTTGGCCAAGGGACGCTATTACCCAGCACCAGCCGCGACCTCGGCGACCGCCGGTCGACCCCCGCCCGGAAGTGACGCAACTTCACCGAGCACTTCCGGAGCAGCGGAGACCGCTCCGCGGGAGGAAGGAGCGCGGGCCTTGACCGGCGTCGGCCCGTCGCCTCCGCCCGCCGCGTCTGCGCCTGTGTCTGAAACCTCTGGCCCGGCCGGACCCGGTCTGGCCCGCCCGGGCTCAGCGGCCGCGGGCTGCGGCTCCCGGTAAGTGTGCGGCGCGGGTCGCGGCCTTGTTTACCCCAGCGGGCCGGGGAGGGGGGTGGGCTCTCCGCGCGCCTTCGCCTTCGTCGCCGCCCGCGAGGCCCCGGTGCCCCCGGCCGCCGGTTCCCCGTCTCAGCGTCCAGCGCCGCCCGCGGAGGGGCGGCTGAAGGCTACCACCGGGGCGGGCTGGCTCCTGGCGTCTCTCCGTTTTTCCTCCTCCCGCCGTCTTCCCAGCTCCCGGAGAGGTCGGAGGCCAGCGCCTCTGACCGACTGGCGCCGGCGCATCTGGGCCTTCCCCACCGGGCGCGCCGGGGATACGCGCCGCCTCCGGGGCTTCTCACTCTAGTCATCATTCGGAGCCCTCGCAGTGCCACCCGCGCAGTTAGTTAACGCTCGCCTGCGAAGGGTCCCCCTGCGCGTGGGCTCCGTGTCCTCGCGGCTGTCCCTGCGCCTCGGTAGAAACGTCCTGCGCCGCCGTCTCGCCGGACGGTGCTGTGCTAGCGGCGGGAGAGACAGCCGTGTTGTCGGATGACTTCACCTCTGTACTGATTGTTGCTCTGTCCCGTAGAACTTTCTGCCACAACGGACATATTTTATACTTTTGTTCTTAAGTAGGGTAGCCATTAGCTACACGTGGCTATTGAACATTTGACTTATGGCTAGTGAGACTGAAAAACCAAATTTTAGGTTTTTATTTAATTTTTAAGTCAAATTTTAATAACCACATGGGGCTAGTGGCTACCGTATTAGACAGGGTAGTATAGTGTAGGGTTTTGAAACTAAGTTACTGGTTCATATTTTAAAAGTGCTAAGTAGTTTTCTTCGGAGATGTAGCGTTAGTAAATGACCATTCAGAGCCAAATATTATGTCTGGAGTAAACATCTTCAGAGTCGCCAAAAAGTGTTTTCGTCAACTTTTAAACTGAGAGAGAAGTCTTCAGTTTGGATCCTTTAGCCCAGGGAGGGTGTCAGCGTCTCCTGAACACGTGACTTTGGCTGGGGGCGGGGGGGGGGGTCTCTCCTGTTTGGTTGCTTTGCGCTAGGTGGCCGGCCCTTAGGTCTCCACGCACACAGGGGGCGGACGGCCTAGTACTCCTTTTCTGTCTGGGGTGGAGGGATAATATTTAACATCCAAAGGAAATCAAAGCGTTGTCATCAGTTCTTTTAATAAGGCAATAACATTCTCGCCCCTTTGAACAATGTTAGCACTCTTTTGAGTAGAATTAGGTATATTTAACTTTGAAAAGATTAAAAATTAAGTTTTTATTTAAATCTGGATCTAGGGGCGCCTGGGTGGCTCAGTTGTTAGTTAAGCGACTGCCTTCGGCTCAGGTTATGATCCTGGAGTCCCGGGATCGAGTCCTGCATCGGGCTCCCTGCTCAGCGGGGAGTCTGCTTCTCCCTCTGACTCTCCCCCCTCTCATGTACACTCTCTCTCAAATAAATAAATAAATAAATAAATAAATCTTTAAATCTAGACCTAGAACTCCCACAAAGTATGAAGTATGAAATCACTTTCTCTTTTTTTGGAGGGAAATATGAAGTTTTCCCCTGCTTCTTGAGTACTTGGTGAGAAGCCTATGGGCAACCTCTAAGTTCAAATTCTGGGGAAAAATCCAGAGAAAGTGGAAAGCATGATCTTCTGTTTGTTGTGATTCTGAAGGTAGCTTTGTGGATAGTATTAGGTTCTCTGGGATGGTGGTGGGGAGTTATAAATCTCGGTAGCCAATGGATCTGGTGGAAGTATTGACTCTGGGTAATACCGGTTACCAGCAGTGTGATCCTGGCAAGTCACTTAACCTTTTTGAACTGTGGTTTCCTCATTTGTAAGAAGGGGATGAGAGCCACTTTGTAGGGTTGTGAAGATTTAATGAGAATGAGTCAAACCTGCAATTGGCTCTCACTAAATGAGAGCTAATATTGGTAGTGAAATTTTGTAGATGGGAGCAATATTTATGAATTTTATTTGCCCAGTAAGCAGTACCTTGAATAATATACAGGTAAAAGAAAAAAGATTTTAAAAAATCAGTTCTCTACTATTTTAGATCTTCCATAATCATTGTTTGGACTTTGATTTTCATTTGGTTTATATTTGCCTATGTTTGAAGTATTTTTTTGGAAGCTATAAGTTTTAGTTTTCCGAGAAATCCTTTTTTTTCTTTTTAAGAGTTTATTTATTTGTCAAAGACAGAGAGGTACAGAGGGAAAGAGCACAAACAGGGGGAGCGGCAGGCAGAGGGAGAAGCAGGCTCCCTGCTGAGCAAGGAGTCCAGTGCGGGACTCCATCCCAGGACCCTGGGATCACGACCTGAGCCGAAGGCAGACGCTTTACCGACTGAGCCACCCAGGCATCCCAAGTTTTCCAAGAAATCCTAAAGGATAAAGAAATAGACATAAGATTTCTAATTGAGTAAGCAAGTAGCCTTGCTTACTTATTTAGTCTTGGATAGTGAGATCTGTATCTCTGAGCAGGTCAGATGGCCCTTGAGCATGTCAGAAGAGAGGCGGCACACAGGTATTAATATTGCCTAGTGGGCATCCTATTGGGGACACTTTTTATTTCAAAATAATTTTTTCATGAGTAAAGTGAGATCTGAAATATTGGCAGTATTTTGTGTTATATTATCACCATGGAAGTGACTTTATACTAAAAATCTCAAGTCAGTTGCAATTTACTTTTTCCACTTCTTTGTAACATTTAGGATTGAAATTGTGGTAGTAATTTAGGGAATCTGAACCATAGGAGTAAGGTGGTGGGTTTTCAAACTAAGGGAGGGAATTAGGTTTACATTACCAGTATTCTAGGTTAAATAATTACTGGCTGTTTACTTTGAATACTTTCTTTTTTAGAAGGCCATGTAACTCTTTTCAATATGACATACGTGTTTCTGTGGGACTTTTAAGAAAATAATTTCACAGTTACTCTGGTCCCTTGCTGCTTATCCTTTTAAATGTTTTTGCTTGTTAAAAAATAAATTTGCAAAACCAGGGTACCAACTTCAAAAATATAAATAGAATTTTCTCTTTTCATTTCAGATGGAAATTATATGACAATATTTGGGGTGACATCTTCAAAGATCTTCAAGAATTCAGGTATTTTTAACTTAAAGATTAATTTTTTTCTCCTAAGGGAAAAGTACCGTAGTTCATTTGTAATTAGGTGGTTGTACCATATAAAACAATTTGTTAAAAGTCAAACTGCAAATGTTATATTACTGCTCTCTCATTAATGTGATTTTAAAAAAACGGCATTTATGGTTAGCATGTCAAACTTAGATTCACTGATACTTTTATATTAAAAGGTGGCTCTGTAGTCCTTTAGACTGCTTACATATTCACTACACTTTTTTTTTTTAACACGTTCATTTTAATGTGTTTTAAAATAGTTTTTAAACATTTTATTTACTTGACAGAGAGATAGCTAGAGCAGGAACACAAGCAGGGGGAGTGGGAGAGGGAGAAGCAGGCTTCCCGCTGAGCAGGGAGCCCGATGTGGGGCTCGATCCCAGGACCCTAGGATCATGACCTGAGCCGAAGGCAGACGCTTAACGACTGAGCCACCCAGGTGCCCCTAATGTGTTTTAATTTTTATTTCTTGTCTTAATTATGGTTGATTTTTTGAGAGATTCTTTCTCTTTTTTTTTAGATTATTTTATTTATTCATTTTATTTTTAAAGATTTTATTTATTTATTTGACAGAGAGCAAGCACAAGCAGGGGGAGCAGCAGGCAGAGGGCGAGGGAGAAGCAGGCTCCCTGCTGAGCAAGGAGCCCAATGTGGTACTCGATCCCAGGACCCTGGGATCATGACCTGAACCGAAGGCAGACGTTTAGCCGACTGAGCCACGCAGACACCCCTAGATCATTTTATTCTTTTTAGAGAGAGAAAGCTCGCACAGTGAGAGCAGGGGGAGGGGCATAGGGAGAGAATCTCAGGCATACTCCCCGCTGATCTCACGACCCTGAGATCATGACCTGAACCCAAATCAAGAGTTGGACACTTAACAGACTGAGCCACCCCTTGAGAGCTTAACTATTTCAAATAGACTTTGTATATACTTTTGTATTTAATCCAGATTTGGTTATGTAAGTTATTTACATACCATCCAATCCAGATGCTCTTGCATTTTAAAGTCCTATTAGTTTTTAGATTTAAATCACTATTTAAGGGACACCTGGGTGGCTCAGTGGGTTAAGCATCTGTCTTCAGCTCAGGTCATGATCCCAGATTGGGCTCCTTGCTCAGCGGGGAGCCTGCTTCTCCCTCTGCTGTTGCTCCCCTTGCTTGTGCTCTCTCTCTCTCTGACAAGTAAAAATCTTAAAAAAAAAAAAATCACTATTTAATACTGTTTCTTGCAGATGATTGCTTGAAACAGTACTTGTGGAGAAAAGTTAATGGGTATTTGCCAAAATCTTCTCTGTATATCTGTCGTTTTTCTTTGCTATTGGATCAATTTGTTTGTGTCGAAGTACCCCTTTTAAAGAATCAGTAGAATCCTTTAAAACTGAGAAATCAGTTAACTTTTCAGACTAGAGGAGGATGTTGAAGAGCTTTGTGTCTTTCGTTTTCTTTACTAACCATGCACCTGTTTTCCAGATATCTGAGAGTGATGTCTGTGAAACAGTGGTACTCTTTCCTAGACATTATAGTAGAAAGGAATTGTGTCATTTGTGTACTGTCTGTGTCACTACTCAGTGGGGCATAATTAGCAAATAGATTTTAAATTTTGGTAGCTCAACCTTTAGGTTGCTTCCCTTGTGGGCCTCCAACTGTGGGGATGTGCCTCTTTCTTAAGGACTTGGGAATTTGACCCTTTGACATAAATCCTTGGGAATTTGACCCTTTGATATGGAGTAGATGGCCTTCCTGACTCTTTCATGCGAGGCCCTTCATGTGCAGTTACCATTATTAGCTGCTTCTGCTCCTCAAGGAATGAGTTTTTCTTAGATAAGCCTGGTCAGGGACATGATGGTGTTTCTAGTATGAGTCCAGAGTTGGAATAGGCCATAATAGGGATAGGACCAGGCTATACCATTTTGATTCTTCAGTGGTTACTGTTATAACTTCTCAGAGTGAAAGTAAGTAACACTTATTTTTTTCTTTTCCTTCCTTAGAAGACAAAAAACACTAATGCATTTGAGAAAGTGGTAAAGTTTGGGGGGAGGGAAAAAAACTGCTTTCCTGATCTGCAACTTGGCTGGATGCTAAGATGTCTGTGGACATGAATAGCCAGGGGTCTGACAGCAATGAAGAGGACTATGACCCAAATTGTGAGGAGGAAGAAGAGGATGAGGACCCTGGGGACATAGAGGACTATTACGTGGGAGTAGCCAGCGATGTGGAGCAGCAGGGGGCCGACGCCTTTGATCCTGAGGAGTACCAGTTCACCTGTTTGACCTACAAGGAGTCGGAGGGTGCCCTCAATGAGCACATGACCAGCTTAGCCTCTGTCCTGAAGGTGAGCAGTGTTGTCAATTCCAAGTGTAATTCCCCCAATTAAAGCTAAATACAAGCTGTTGCTCACTGACATCTCCTCCAGACTGATTGAATCAATGGCGCTGTAGTGAAACTAAATTTAGGTATGCGTTGGATTAGTTGGACATTTGATGCTTTACTTTGTTTTCTAAAATATGCATATTTAAGGCCCTCAAATTCCCAAGTTACTAAGAATTAGAAAGGAAGGATGGGGTGGATTCAGGATAGACTGGAAATACATAGAAGCAGAATTACGTAGATTAACACTGGTTTCAGAAAGTGAGTCTTATAAAACTTTATGAGGTAAGATAAGATTAGCCTCAGAATCACCATCCTCCTTACAACCATGTGTGAATTTCTGGCAAATGTCTTTTTTTTTTTTTTTAGATTTTATTTATTTATTTGAGAGAGAATGAGAGAGAGAGAGTACATGAGAGGGGGGAAGGTCAGAGGGAGAAGCAGACTCCCTGCCGAGCAGGGAGCCCGATGTGGGACTCGATCCTGGGACTCCAGGATCATGACCTGAGCCGAAGGCAGTCGCTTAACCAACTGAGCCACCCAGGCGCCCTGGCAACTGTCTTGAGAGGTACCTGAATAATCAGTGCCTCTGGGCTAATTGAACTCCATTGTTTCATATACTAATGTCTAATGTTGAAAGAGATTTTAGCTTGTATTTCCTTGATTTTGGGGGTGTTATATGGAAACTTTAAAGAGTTAGTTATTCCAGCAAGAATCTTATTTTTAACACAAAATTCGTATGCTTTTCAATCTTGCACCTCAGGCGGGTTTTATTGTCCTTACCATGTACGTTTTGTGCTATGTAATATTAGACTAGTACATAGTCCACTCACATAAAACGCTATGTACTATGAACATTTTTATGGTCATTTAGACAATTTCCCAGCATGTTTCTTCCTCCTCTAATGTTGGCCATTATGTGAAAGTGGGGACATTTCTCTTATTTCATTGCCCTTCCTTCAGGAACTGTTATATGGATCTTGTTATCTGCTTAAATTGAAGGCCAAGGGCACATTGGCATGATTTCAACCAAGTAATTTTCTTGTTGGTATTTAAATGGAAGTAACTAAGGTATGCCGTGTGTGATTTCTATAAAAGCTGCTTTACCTACTAGTTTAGGGATTTTTTTCCCCAGGTGGTCAGTGAAGGCTCACTAATACCTTGGATTTGGATATTCAGGGCTTTATTAGCAACTAGTGGGACGTTGAAATCTACAGCTTTTTTTGTGACTCGCTCCTGGGAGGGTTGCAGACTTCCTCTCTTGTGGTCAGAAAACTGTGAAGAATGGAGACCCATTGGAACCTCTGGATTTGGGATTTCTCCCCCTTGGCTTTAGCAAAGCTGCTGGGACCTCTGTTTCTAGAGGACATTTCCCTGGTGGAAAAGGCATCAGATCTCTTCCTAACAATGCACACACCTCTCCATCTGGTCAACTAGTTTCTTTTGCTTTAACCATTTTGTCAGGTTATACACAGTGTTGGTATTTAAAATTAGAAAAGGTATCGTCAGGTGTGGCTACGTGCTGGACAGTATCAGTTGACTAAGTTCATCAGATGTTCTCATCTGTGCATAAGAATTCTCTTCCCTCTGTGCTCACTTTCCTACCCTGCTGGAGACAGCTGAGGGGCCCAGACACCTATCCTCATTTTTTTTTTTTAAGTGTGGTAAAATACATGTAACATAAAATTTACCCATTTTACATTTTTCCTTGCTGTTAAGCTGATATAGGGTCAGCCCTCTGGAAAGTCTTCTCCCCATTTTAGAAAGCCCTCCCTTTTCCTTCCTCACCTTTTATACCCTCAGGGCTCCTTCAGAGTCTAGCTTTTACTTTTCCCGAGTGAGCCTTCTTGAGACCCCTACAGCACAGTGGTTGTACCCTCCTTTGTTCTTGGTGCCTGAACATTACAACTCATGTATATTAGAGCACATACTGCAGTCTTTGGACCGCTTTATGTTGTTTTACCTTTCCATGTATTTTTGCCTAATCTCTCCAACTAGATTGTCACTTCATGGAGGGCAGAAACTGCTTTATACCTTTTCTCCCCCATCATTCCTGTCACAATGTTTCATCCGTAGTAGGTGTTGAATAATTTCTTGGATACTGTGAATTTTGTTAGCTGTTGATGACAATAGCTGATGCTGCTGTGAACTAGATTCCCTAGTCCCTCTACTGTACATCCTTCTCTGCTATTAGGAAAAGGCATTGTTCTGACCCTCAAGATCATGAAAGGAAGGAGCAAAACGAACTTGGTATAGAGAGGAAGAAACAAAAAGAGATGGAAGAAAGTTGAAACACTAGGAAAGGGTTAAAGAGAAAATGGGGCAAAGGGGAAAATAGTCCATGAAAATTTAGATCACGGTAGAAGATAGATTTTCCCCCCTCCCTAAACCTCACTGAGAAGCATGCTAATAACCATTTTCTTTCTGGGGCAGGGCAGCAAGGGTCCTGGCTCTTTTGGTGGCTTGGCTGCACATAAAGGGGCTCAGTGGTGTTTTAAGTAGTTTCGGAATTTGACCAAAGAGGCTAGGCAAAAACAGCTTGGTTAAGGGTAAAGGAGAGGGAATCACATACAATCTTCCTTTTTCAGGCTGGCTGAAAACTTAACATTTTTATTTTTGTAATTAATATTTTATGAGATGAGAGGGAATAATTTAAGTGCTGCATTTACAGAACGGTGTGTATTGGTGCTTTGGCTATTCTAGCTGCCCTGTTGCATGTGTATCTGAGGTTGGACATCAGTGGTGATCCTGGTGCTGTTTGTACAACTCTGTGACATATCAAGATATTTAATTCTTTCATATGATTTAGGTGCTATTTGGCTGGTAGAAAATAATGACATGTATGTGGTTTAAAATTATAGCCATATGAACAGTTGTTTATGAATGAAAGCTAAGTTTGAGGACTGGCTTGACTTTTTCACTGATACTCGTCTGTTTTACTTGTTTTATTTGTGTGTTGGCAGTTACCTATGGATGAGCCATTGTCCAGCATAAAATTAAGCCTTTTGTTGCCTTTTGAGATTTGATGCCTCTTAAATATTAAAATTCCAGTTGTCTGGGACACTGGGTTTTTGGTTTAGTGAGGGCCCCTGGTGTCAGGGTAACTTCCTGTATGTGTTTTAAGACAAGTTCATGAGTAAGATCATTAATTGAGAAAGGAGCGTGCCCAGGAAATCAGATTAAGGGCTAAGGATAGACAAGAGAGAAAATGCTTATCTGTTATTGGGGAAAACTACTGGTGTTCAAATCATGGCAAAACAGAAGCATTGTTTTTAGAATGAGCTGTCATCTTACACAGATAGGATACAGTTGACCCTTGCGCAATGATGGGGATTAGGGGTGCCAACCCCCACACTGCCGAAAATATGCATATAACTTTTGACTCCCCCAAAACTTAATACTAGTAGTTTACTGTTGACTGAAAGCCTTACCAATAACATAAACAGTCAACACATATTCTGTATGTTATATGTATTACATACCAGATTCTTACAGTAAACTAGTGAAAAGAAAATGTTAAGAAAGTCATAAGGAAAAGACATTTACAATACAGTATTGTAAAAAAATTTGTGTGTAAGTGGCTCTGTACGGTTCAAACCCATGTTGTTCAAGTGTCAACTGTAGTCGTTAGAGATTGGATGATTGCCAGGTGAAGTATTATATTGTAGGAGGGGGAAAATCTCTGACAAATATTTGTCATGATTGTGTGTGTCTTTAGGTCTTAAAGTCTTCAAGGAAAACAAAGCTGACTTTTTAAAACCCTGTATTTTCATATGAAACTCACACGAAGACTATTTGATTGTTATAGATGAGAGAGGCCTTTTCTGGTAATAACAGACTTTTTTTTTTAAGATTTTATTTATTTATTTGCGATAGAGAGCATGAGAGGGAAGAGGGTCAGAAGGAGAAGCAGACTCCCTGCTGAGCAGGGAGCCCGATGTGGGACTCGATCCGGGAACTCCAGGATCATGACCTGAGCTGAAGGCAGTCGATTAACCAACTGAGCCACCCAGGCGCCCAATAACAGACATTTTTATTGCAAAATATGTAGTAGTTAGTCAAGAAGAATTTTGTCATTCAGTGAATCCTGTTAGTGCTGTTCTGTGAAACTCCTGAGGCATTTGCAGTCAAGCTGCCCAGATATTCCAGGCTGGCTTTCATTGGTGATGGGCCAGAGGAGTCTCCTGCATGCTACTCTTCTCTCAACAGCATGCTAGGGGTGTGGGCAGGAGAGGAGGAATGTGGTTCAGGGCCCCACCCAAACGCATAAGAAAGGAGAAGAAATAGTCCCTTTGGGGCTAGATCTAGTCTAATGGAGCCACAGTGAGCTCTCTGAGCTTTGTGTTGCAGGAGATCCTTCGAGGTGGAGTAGAAGGGCAGTGCAGGTAACACAAGTCAAGTCCAAGCCCCACGGGTTAATAAGCATGGGGGTGGGAAAGTTACCTTCTGAGCTAAAGCAGGAGACTAAGAAGTATAGGTTAAAGGAGTGAAATGTGGAGGATTGTGAATGAAGCCTGGGGTGTCTTTACTATTGGATTTTTTAGACTTCTTCATCGCTGAACTGCGGCTGTTCACTTCTTAAGCCTGGTGTTCCCCCAGATAGGATTGGAGAAATAAGCTGGCTATAATGAGTTTTTTAGTTCTTGCTTTATGAATTGCTGTATTAACTGCAGTAGAGCTGGGAAAATGTTATATAGAATACTTTATTCTGCCACCCTCTTGCTTGAATTTATTTTAAAATCTAGTATTTGATATTCAGCAAAATGTGGCTAGAAAATGTTTTGTGATTCTTTTTCTGTGGATCATCTTTCCCCTTTGTGGATGAATCATAATTAGTTTTCAGGGCTTCTGACTCCAAGTGCAGAAAAGTCTTTATAGTTTCGTGTTCAAAACAATCTATTTCTGTGCATTTGGTACTGTAACATGAGCAATTGATGTTCTTCACAAAATACCTTATATTTAGTC